GAAGACAGTCAGGTTATTAAGTTTATATTGACTGGTATCTATTTTTTTCTGTTGGAAGACCATCAAAATGGAGGATGGATCAACATAGATACTTTGTAATACTGTCAGAAAATATCTCTGGGTCCGCTCCTGTTATTGACCATGTTACCTGTTGTGCAAGATTAAAATTCAGTGTTGACTGACAGTGCTATTATAAGCATTATTTATTATTGCATCAAAATTGACAAAATGACCTTTTTTGCATCTTTATTTTCTGTTTTTTGTCTGTACATTTGACAGCTTTGCTGCCTTGTTTCATTTTTAACAATTTTTAACATAAAACAAACTTAACAGTTTACTGCCGTTTTTATATGATCAACTAAGAAAATTGATGAGATGGGAAAAATATCAATAGAGCAGTGTTAAATGTCCAATTTCTTCCATTCTGAGATTCTGAACATAGTGAATGTCAATGATTGAATCTGACAAACTGCAATCAATGATATGAGTTTATTTCCATTTTTGACACTTTATTACACAATACACGATACCAAGTTTACCAACATTTTTACATAATCGACTAACAATGTTGTAAAGATTCAGGAAATGTCAAACAAACACTTTTATGTATCTTATTAGTAAAATAATAAGACTGTTAACATGCCTAAGAATTGAATCTGAGGAAATGTGAAAAAACAGTATAACTTCTAAAATAATGGCCCGATTATGCTGATTTTCGAACTCAACCAGCATTTTAGTAAGATTAACCACTCCTGTGAGTTTAATGACAGTTGGCCTATCTGTTTTTCTTATATTGTGTTTACAGTGCTGCATATATGCTGAAAAATGAAAAAACAGCATAACTACTAAAATAGTGGCCTGATCATGACGATTTTCGAACTTGACCTGCGTTTTAGTAAGATTGATTACTCCTGTGAGTTTCATGACAACAGGCCTAACAGTTTTCCTTAAAATGTGTTTACAGGGTTGCATATATGCTGAAAAGTGAAAAAACAACATAACTTCTACAATAATGGCCCGATCATGCTGATTTTCGAACTTGACCTGCGTTTTATGAATATTCATCAGCTCTGTAAATATAAAGCCAAAAAGTAAAACTGCCCTCCACTTATCGTGTTTACAAGGAAAGAGCACGGCAATGGCATCGGCATCGGCATCAGCATCGGCGACGGCGACGACAGACGCAGGTGATGGCAATATGTACAGACACATCTGTGTCTGTACATAAAAACATGGATATTATTTCTGCTCCACTTCCAATAGGAAAAAACTTCACATGCTTGTTCTTGGCTCAAGGTCAAAATAACAATATTGTTGTGAAGGCTTATCATCATGTCTAAGCAGTTTTTGTTCATTGTCAATGGCACTGCACATCCTTTACAACAATGATAAATGAACTTCACACCAAACAACAAGTAAAGAATGTCAGTGACTGAAAATCTAACATTATATTTGTTTTAAAAATATCAGCCTACTCAGTCTGTGAAGTCTGACCCAGCCCTGTAAGAAATATTCAGCTATTCCCCCATACAGTTCTAACCTATACCCACTACTAATACCCCCCCTTTCCTAGAACAAATAATAAACAAATAATTGACTTGCCCATCTAATTTACAGATACTCACACATTCCTATTACATATACTCACCCATTCCTATCACAAATACTCACCCATTCCTATCACAAATACTCACCCATTCCTATCACATATACTCACACATTCCTATTACATATACTCACTTATTCCTATCACATACACTCAACCATTCCTACAACATATACTCACCCATTCCTATCACACATAACCATTCCTACCACACATACTCACCCTTTCCTACAACATACACTCACCCATTCCTATTACAAAAACTCACCCATTCCTATAACAAATACTCACCCATTCCTATCACAGTCATATACTCAACATCCTGATCTATACTCATCTTTTCTTTTCACATGTACACATCCATGCCTATCACATAATCTCACCCATTCCTATCACAAATACTCACCCATTCCTATCACATATACTCACCCATTCCTATCACAAATATTCACCCATTCCTACAACATATATTCACCCATTCCTACCACAAATACTCACCCATTCCTATCACATATACTCACCCATTCCTATCACAAATATTCACCCATTCCTACAACATATACTCACCCATTCCTATCACAAATACTCACCCATTACTTCCACACATACTCATTCCTATTACAAATACTCACCCATTCCTACCACATATACTCACCCATTCCTGAGCACAGAACATCCCCCTGGGAGTTGAACTTATTGAGCTGAAATTTTGAAGATGAGAATGTTCCCATTACCACCATTATGTAAAAAAAACATTGGGGGGGGTTAACAATTTGATCATTAACTGAAGCACATACAAAGAGAAAAAAAAATTGTAATTTTTCATTAAATTTCATGCTTGATACACAACAATTGTTGCTTATAGTCTGAATACATATTAAAGATATTCTATAATTTGGGGTAGGGAATGATAAATGAATACTTAATCTGAAAGAAATAATAACAAACTGCACCTTATCTGACCTTACAATCTGTTTACCAAGCCTCATGTCAGCTGACCTGAATTGCGGAACTGACCTTTAGTTGGGGCCGTGTTTCATAGAGATACAATGACATCTTGTGTCAGCTTAGATAAACGCTGCAGAGACGAACAGCAATCAGAGAATGAGCATCAGAGGATGTTTTTTTCATGAAGAATTGACAGAGCTGCCTTAGTTTCATATTTAAAAATCTACTGGTATTTTGAGAAGGTGGATGAAAATGTATAGTAACAGTGTGAGTATTGACCGACTGCAGTCTGTAATGTACATGTAGCCAATATGTCACATGACAGTACCTGTCTGCAGTCCTTAACACAAACCTAAGAGGATTAAGGTAACATTACATGAAATCAGAGATTCAAAACCACTTTGGGTGGCTGGGGCAAAAGATCCAGGCATGGCCAATCTTGCATGCATTTATTTTTGGCACAAACATACGATTTGTTGCATTTGGGGCTTTAAATTTATTCTCCAGGTCCACCATGACATATGTCATATGCACCGACCATCAATGCGGTCCATGGTACTTGTGCATGTGACATCCCCTTGTTTATTCACAGTGTGTATGCAGGATTATTTGAAGTGAGGGGGGGAGGTCTGCAGATGCCAAGCCCACCCCCCCTTTGGCATGGCCCACTAAAGGGACCCCAAAAAATTTGGTATTTAGGAGGGTGATCAGTGCCATTTGGTATGGTTTAGAGCTATGATTCATCTAGTCAAAATTCTATTTTCAAGAGGGGACCATAGGTGTGATTTTTTTCAGACATCAAAAGAGGGGGGGGGGGGTCAGGACCACCTTGACATCCCCCTTAATCTACCGCTGGTATGTTATGTTTAAAAACATCCGGTTCACATTATTGTCAAGACAAAAGTCACTGCAGATATAAAAATTAATCAGCCTTTAGATTCAGCGGAATTTTCTTATTGCTCTCACTCGGTATTGATCAATCTACGGTTTGCAACTGTGTAAAATCTTTTCCCAGTGGTATTCTTTTATTATCTGAGTGAGACCAGTACAAGGATACATGTAGTGTGCCAGGCCCTTCCAACTTTTGTCACCTAATAACAATTAATTATCATACACACATAAAAAAGAAAGGGTAGAGGACAAAAAGAATGAAAAAACAATCCAGGCAGTCTTATTTCAATTTACACCTAGCTGATGACAGGAAACATATTTTCCATCAATCAACACACCTTACCACTCAGGTGAGCTCTTTGGTTACTTACAGGATTAATAGAATTAAGGAAAACCTTTTATTATATATGCTTGATTGGTTAACCTAAAACCACCTTAGGATAAAGCAGAGTTTAATGAAAAATTACTATCAGCAGTAATCAGAAATGACAGAGCAGGGGTTTCCTGGTTACATCCCTATACATCCCCGCACTGATACTCCACAGCATCGATGCGAGGAAGCAATGCTGTGGGGGAGTATCTGTGTGGTGGAGTAACGGTGCACCTACTTCGCCAATTTTACAGGGGATGTATCAATGCAGGGATCTATTGGTGTGGAGTTGTATCGATGTGGTTTGGGGGAGTATCGGTGCGGGGGAGTAATGGTGCAGGGGAGTATCAACATTACCCTGGTTTCCACAGGACCTGATGTAGTACAGGGAGACAGTACAATATATGTGAACCTGTGATTCCATCACCAATTTACAGGGAGTACAACCCAAGAAAGTCAAATCCTCAACCCATCATATTCCTTAAACTTTGCCAGCTGTATAACTGTCTTTAAAATAGGCCTACTTTAAGGCCAGTTGCTGTCCAAATAATTCCTGGATGGCTCTCTGGCAAAAGCCTTGTGACTGAACCATGTTGTCAGTTGTCAGGTGATTTTCTAAATAATAATCAGCTGTGAAACTCAGGGTCTTCAATACATTACTATAAACAAAATGTATATTATCTTGTTTAACACTTTTAAATACCAGAAGTAAACTGGATGTGGCACTCGTATAAAAAATTGCACAAAGCCTCATTGATTTTATAGTGGTAAGATTCCTCATCTACTGATTTCTTATTGCAGGCTGAGGCACAGTAGCAGCATTTGTCATTCCTAAGTCATCAGCAGGCAAAGTGAAAACTCAGTGGCCTAATTAATCTGAGAAATATATTGGACAAGGAAGATCTCACATTGGAATCTGACTCCCAACTTTATCATGCACTTTGTGATAACAGTGATTAAAGAAGAAAAAATTTCCAGACCTCTAAAAGTTATTTGGTGGTCTTGACAATGACTTTATATCTATTAGGCAGGCAGTGAATGCCCTCTTCTATTAGATGAAAGACAATCAGACAGCTGATTTTTGTGACACTGTTTAGTGATTATTTTGTAAAGGTCACAATTTACACAAATTGGAAGACGCCATGTTGACCTCAAGAATGTCATAAAGTGACTCAAAGAAGTAATGTAACTTTGACCAAGGTCAATCACCCATCTGTCTCAAAAGGCACGCACTGCCGTCCAATCATAACAGTATGAACCCAGCAGAAGAAGACCAACCAACAACATCAGTGCTTGACATCAATCTAGACATAGTGGTACAAATTCTCTCCTATCTTCCCTGGGCAGACAAAATAGTTGCCACCAGGGCAATCCCTAGTTGGAAATCATGCCTCTTCACTACAATGGCTTGGAAGACGTTTGTCAAAAAGCCCACAGAGACGTACAGCTTCACAAGCAAGCAGCCCGCTGGCAGGTGCTCTGTTGAGAACGATGACGAGGAGAGCGTGAGGATGACCGTGCAGAATTTCGGGCCGTACTTTCAGGAGGTTGAGATGAACTACCTGGAGAGTCACGAGTTACAAGACATGCAAGGAATACTGGAGCAGGTGATTGAATGAATGAATGAATGAATGAATGAATGAGATATTGGTTAATTGCAAGTGAATGAGAGACCTATCACATAGTACTCAAATATTACAAGACTTATTGATTGATTGACCTTTTTTATGATGAATTTGTCAAATAACCTGTTTTTTTAAATCTTATATAGTAATACTTTATAGCATACATTTTCTTGGAGTCTGTTGGATCAAACAGATTGAAAAGTCTTTTCAGTGATAAATTACACTTTTTATGTAATCCAACATGATTTACATTGTGCCATATTTTCCTGTTGTCTTAAACCTTTTTCATGCAATTTTATATCATCAGGTTGCAAAAAGTTGCACCCGTATGAAGAAATTCTCCCAGAAAGTCTCCAATAAACTTCACCACGTAGTCCAGACTAGACAACATGAAGTCGTGCACTCTTTGGCTGACATAAGTAAGACTGAGAGTTGTGACACTGCCACGGACTAGTTCCTTCCAAAATGTGGCTTATTTTATAAAGAAAGCATCTCTAATGCCACCCAGAACCTGTGCCATGTGTGAGGTACAGTGGAGCGAGTGTTATTAGAAGGATGGGGTCCACGGAAACAAAGCAGACCCTTCCCGCCCCCCTTGGCTTGGGGTTGGGGGCCAGCTGAAGGGCCCCAAAACTTTTTGGTATTTTTGAAGGCGAACAGTGCCTTTTAGTATGGTTTAGAACTATGATTCAGCTGGTCAAAATTCTAATTTCAAGAGGGGATCACTGGTGAGATTTTTTGCAGAAATGGAAAGGTTGGTCAGGACCTCCCTGACCCCCCCCCTCCCCCCCCACCCCCCTCTGAATCCTCCACTGGTTGGAACATCATGTTTATATTAAAAATGTTACTGAGTTACAAGTTTTTCCGGCTGGGGAACTGTTGGCTTTTCTTTTTGCGCTTTTACCCATGTTCACAGTCTTTCCAAGCACCAGCAAATACCACACATTATGTATTATACTATGTAGAAGTGCATCAATAAATTTGCCCTGGGCAAATTGGTGGAATATGTAATGCATAATTGTATGATGTGTGCTAAATGGAATTGTTATCACTTCATTATCAAGGGAATTGGCACTCACAACCTTCACAAACTGTCCAAAGATTGAAAAAATAAATCCCTGTTTATTGTGCTAGCATGGGGAACTTTACATGTACTAGTACATGCATGCAGTCCCAAAAATTATCCAAATGATACTTCATTAGGAAGGCTTGAAGTGGCAACAAAATAAACTAAATATAATTGTTTTGAACCTCATTTGCTTTTTCTCACTTGATAACAAGTTTACAATCGTTAGTGGTGCTAATGAAGTGCAAATTGACATTTATCTCATTTGTCATTATGTTATATGAGCTACCTGACACTTTTGTACTCATGAATACAGATGGTATTGCTTGTAACACTATGGGTTAAATATTTTTTTATATATCTTTAGGTAGGAAGACTAATGCCAGCATTAAAGTTTCCTTCCCCAAATTCATCGAGTTTCAAGACCCCATTTCTCACACACTCAACAAAGATAACGCGCCTGTAACCCTTCTTAATATGCTAGAGATGGATGGACCAATTGAAAACATTTCCCAACTGGAATGTTACTTCCCAAAATCGTGCACGAATTCCATGCAAAGACTTGGCAACTTTGACGTGGAAAACCTCAGTGTTTCGGCACATATCCTCAACACTGATATCATCTGTAAACTGGCCAGGAAGAAGCTGTCCACCCTCTGTCTACTTGATGACACACACAGTATCGAAGTAACCACTCCCACTATCAACTGGACAGTGGTCCACCAGGTCAAGCCAGACCTTAAAGTGCACTATAGGTTCCAAGACCGTCCACTGTTCCCAGAATGCATTACAGACAATCCG